TGGGCCAGTGAGGGGCATCTCGTCTCATAGTGGGGCTGGCCATGTGGTCCTCTCTGTGGACTGGCTGCTCTATTTGGCCTAGTGGGCCAGGATGTAAGCACATTTTAAATGCAGTTTTTGTGGTAAAATTAGGTGCCTCAGCTGATGTTTGTGTCAGCTTATACTGGAGTATATATGGTACCTTGAAAATCTATTTCTATCACTACTTTAATTCAAGTTCTTACTATTCTTTCTTGGACTGTTGTATTTAATCTCATTTTATTCATTATAAATATTTTTAAATTGGATGTTATTTTCCAGCTTAAGATAAAATATTTGGGTTTGTCTTCTTGCGTTGTCCTTTGAAATTTTCTATTCAGCTCTTGGACTTCATCATTTCCATTTGCTTTTGCTACTCTACTATTAATAGCAAGTTTCAGAGTCTCATCTGACACTCACTTTGACCTTTTCTTTCTTTCTTATCTTCTTAATGACCTTTTGCTTTCTTCATGAATGATGGTCCTGATGTTCTCCCACAACTCACCGGGTCTTCTGTCATGAATATTCAGTGTGTCAAATCTGTTCTTGAGATGTTCTCGAAATTCAGGTGGGAAAGAGGGCCATATTTTGGCTCTCATGGATTTGTTTTCATTTTCTTCAGCTTTATCCTGAACTACAGGTGAACAATTGATGATCTGTTCTACAGTCAGGCCCTGGCCTGCAGTTAGTTACAGATGTTAAGCTTCTCCAGCTTCTCTTTCCACAAATGTAGTCAATTGGATTTCTGGTTATTCCATCTGGAGAAGTCAATGTATATAGTCACCTTTTATGTTGTTGAGAAAGGTATTTGTTATTAATACCTTTTATGAATAACCTATTAAGTCATTGGCTTTGAGAAATTCTATCATGTAATCTCCAATTTGATTTCTATTATTAAGACCATATTTTCCAATTATTGTCCCTTCTTTGTTTCCAACTTTTATATTCTAATCAGAAGTAATTATCAATGCTTCTGGATTGCATGTTTGATCAATTTCAGACTAAAGTCATTGGTAGAATTCTTCAATTTCTTCATCACTAGCTTTGGTGGTTGGTGCATAAATTTGAATAATAGTTGTATTGATCAGATTTCCTTGAATGCTAATACATAAAATCCTATCACAGACAGCATTGTACTTCATGATTGATTTTGCAATGTCCTTTTTGACCATGAATGCCGCACCATTCCTCTGGATTGTGTTATTCCCAGCATAGTAAATCATATGATTTTCTGATTCACAGTGGTCAACACCAGTACTTTTAGCTCACTCGTTCCTAGGCTATCAATCTTTATGCATTCCATTTCATTTATGACCACTTCCAATTTTCCTAAATTCTTACTTTTTGTACATTCCACATTCCAATCATTAATAGAGTTTGCAGCTATTTCTCCTTAAACTGTGCCCCATCAGCAAATGAAGATCGACTGTGCATCACCATGGTTGACTCCCCTTCAAGAAATCAGCTCCACCTCAGTCACCGTTTGAGTACCCTTCGATACAAGGGGTCCATCTCTGGGCACCATGTCTGACAATGTTCTGCCTCCACTCATTAGACCCTCGGTATCTGACAGTGTTTCAAGCTGTGCATAAGAGGGAACTTGAATCCTGTGTTGTCTCTTCTTAGTCTAGAAGCTGCACTGAACCTAGTCCTTAAGGAATAGAACAAGTTCCTCATGAACAGCTTAGTAACTGGCGAAACCTCAGTAAATATAACTGATAAAGAATTAAGGATAGGAAAAGCAGGCCTCTAGTAATATATAATGTTGTCTTTGTTTCCTTTCTTTCTTTCAATAGGGATGAACACATTGCTTTGTGCCCCCATTCAGAATCAGATGCAACAGAAAGAGGTAAGTATATATGCACTCGTTTTCATATTTTAACCTCTCTTAACAGTTAAAAATTGTTTTTAGAAGTACAATACAAATTCAGTGTTAATGACATGACTTAGGAATGACACACCGAAATAGACTACCATAGACTGGAAAAACTTTCCAGCTTCTTAACAAAAGATAGTTAAGTCACTGCCTAGAGTGTATTAATTATACCAGGAGTTCTCAGAGTTTAATCAGCATATGATCACCAAAGTATTTTGCTAAAGCATAGAATACTTATCAAATAGATCTAGGGTGGGTCCCAAGATTCTATATTTCTTTTTTTTTTCTATCTATATTTCTATTAGTGTACTAAATAATGGCTAGTGTACGATCCACAGATCACACTTTGACTAGCAAGGAAATTAGACCATAGTCTTACAAATAAATAAAAATGAACACAATTTCCAGGAACACAGAGTATAATACAAAGAATTTTCAGCCTGATTATATTTGATGGTGTCATGTTTTTTATCCCCCCAATTTTGGATTTTGTAACCTTAAATTTTTCCAGAGGCACTAATAAATAAATTATACACAGGCATTAGAAAAGTCATTAATACTCTATTGCTTGCTACACACTATTCCATTGAATGAAATAAACAAATGTTTCACAAAATTATTTTGTGATAATTTATCAAGTATTTATATTTATACATAAATATCAAGTATTTACGTGTATTTTATATGTGTATAATGCCTTAAAAAATAAGTTTGCATTTGGTTTGATCTCTTATTATATGTTTTCCTTATAGTTCTCAATTATAGAACACAACCATGAAAGGAAACCTGGAAATGACCAGACAATCATCTTTTCAGATGAAAACCAGATGGACCTGACAGCAAGTCACACCGTGATGATTGCCAAAGACCTTTTAAATTGTACCCAAAGTGAAAAATCTACCAAGATAGATACTAAATCATTTCTGGCTAACTTAAAGCTTCACTCTGAAGATTCAAAGATGAAGAATGAATTAAATGTTTCCATGGATCAAGATACATCTTCAGAAAAGAAAATAAATTTCAATGACTTTATAAAAAAATTGAAAATGGGAAAATCTAATTCTCCTTCTAAAGATTCTGATAAAGAAAATTGTGAGCCATCTGTTCATGCCAATGAATCAAATAATGCTTCGTCTATACATCAAATGCATGTATCTCTGAATGTTGATGAGGATAACCGTAATAGGACTAGAATCTTTAGAGAACAAGATGATGTAATGAACTTCACCCAATGTCATACAGCTAATATTCAGACTTTGGTTCCTATATCTTATGAGGCCAGTTTAAAAGAAGTTAAAGGTGATGATATTACAATTTATGGGAGTGAAGTTATGGACTTGACAATTAACCACACTATACAGATTTTACCCACTGCAGATCATTTATCAGAAATGGAAATTGAAACTCAGAATGTCAGAATGGATGTTACAAGTTGTGGAGATAAATCTCAAGGAAAGGAGAAAATATTTAAGAATAAACTGAATACTCTATTTCAAGATTCTACCTTAAGCCCTGAAGATGAAATACAAATTACCAGAGGTTATATTGTGGGAGCAGGATCCCACACAGTCACACAGACCTCTAACCAAGATGTCAAAAATTTGCCCATGACCTTAGAATCAATATGTTCCAGTTCAGCTAGTCAAGATTATAATACACTATTTAATTCCAGTTGTAATGATGCCATGGAACTGACCAAGTGTGTCTCAAGTATGAGAAAAGAGGAAAATGTACTAAAGCACGATAGTATTTATTCTAAAATGTGTCCCAATTCAGATGCCATCTCTCTTATAGAAAAAACTTTTTATTTTGGAGAAGATAGCATGGATATTACCAAAAGTCACACAGTTGCCATAGATAATCACGTTTTTAAGCAAGATGAGACAAATTTACAGAAAGTGGCTGCACCAATATCTGAAAAAGAAAAAATGCTCCAAAACTGCACAGCTGTGGCAGAAAGTAGGAAAATGAATGTAAATTGTAGTTCAGTTCTTCATATACCTAAGAAAAGATTACAGCAGAGCCTAACAAATTCTTTATCAATTCCATTGACTGATAGAAAGACTGAACTCTTCACAGATGAAGATATGGATTTGACTAAATGTCACACAGGCAAATTAGGAAGTCAAACTCCTCTTGCATCTTATGATCTAGCACCGAAGGATACAAGTAAATGTCACTCTTCCAACAAAAGACTTTCAGATAAATGGGATGTGACTGAACATCACATCGAACCATCCCCACAACCAAATGTGGCATCTGAAAATATTGTACCTACCACCTGGGACAAAGAAAAACATCACATTTTCAAGATGTCATTCCATCTTGATAAAGATTCTCCTCAGTCAATTGGTTATAAGCAGAATATAGCAAAAGCTCAAAATATAATCTCTGGGAGAGATCTTGATAAACAAGTGGCACTGGGGAATAATAGAAATGTAGTTTCATGGGAGCAATCTTTGTTTTCGGCCGCAAAACCTTTATTTTTATCAGAAAGACAAGCACTTGTGAACAATCATATTACTACTACTAATAGTCATACACTGATAGCTGAACCAGACGAGAATTCTAAACTGCCTGAGCCACTGAGGAAAAGTTTAGGAAGGCCCACAACTATCTCTTCTGATGACAGGATGGTTTCTTGTTCAGCAGAGGAACAAACTATGGATTTAACCAAAAGTCACACTGTTGCCATTGGATGTGGTCCTTCTGAAGCACAAATATTTGGTAGCTCTAATTTAGAACACGCTAACAGTCAGCTAACAATAGAAAGCACACAGATGGCTGTAAAAGTTGAAAAATGTAATAAAACTCATGTAGAAAAAACTGAAACATCTATATCTAATGATACAGAAGTAATAGATGACAAACTTGTACAGAAACCTGGATTTCTGGATGAAAAACAAAGTGCCAAAACTTATGGAAGGAAAAGTGTTGGTGCATTGAAGATGGACAAAACTATTGTATTTTCAGAGAGTGATCAAAATGATATGGATATCACTAAGAATTATACAATAGAAATAAGTAAGAGACCTTTATCAGATGAACAAGATTCTGATTTGGTGCCTTTGCCAAAAACTTCTAGAACCATTTTGTATACGCGCGGACAGGATGACATGGAGATGACTAGAAGTCTCACAACTGCCTTAGAATGTAAAACTGCCTCACCAGAGGAAGTAACGACTAAGCTTGTGGATAAGACTGTAATGTTTGTAGACAATCATGATCTAGAAATGACAAAGTGCCATACTGTTCTCATTGATTACCAAGGAAAGGAGAAAACAATGCTTCCAATCAAACCCAATTTTGAGCTACCACAAATGGAAAGAATAGGGACACTGAAAGTGATATCTGATGAGAGCAGGGTTTTTTTCCCAGAGGTTGGTGAAAATGACCCTCTTGCAGTAAAAGGCAGCCAGCTAACAGTACCAGGCAAATGGTCTAATAGACCTATAGAAAATGCTGTAGCATGTATAGGTGATGAGAACATTGAGATGTCTAAATCAGTGACCCGGGAGAATGACAAACACAAGCCTGGGTTTCTGAAGGTACCTCAATCAGACAAAAATCAGAGAAGGAAAAGCCTCAAGATTAAAAATGATAAGACTATTATATTTTCAGAGAGTAATAACAATAATATGGACATAACCCGGAGTTGTATGGTAGAAGTCAATCATAAAAGTGCCCAAGAAGATCAAGAGGACTCTCACTTGATGCCCATGGCAGAAACTTCTAAAACTGGTTTGTATGCATGTGGACAGGATGACATGGAGATGACTAGAAGTCACACAACTGCCTTAGAATGTAAAACTGCCTCACCAGAGGAAGTAACTACTAGGCTTATGGACAAGACTGTAATGTTTCGAGACAACTGTAATGATCTAGAAGTCACCAAGTCCCACACTGTTTATATTGATTATCAAGCTATGGAGGAAGTACTTCCAGAGGGCCCTAAATTTGGACTCATAAAAGAAAAGAACTTCCCTATTTCTTTTCCTAAGGAAGATAACACTGCTCAAAAAACCAGTACCAAACAGGTACAAGCCATAGAAAACAAAATGATTTCTCACCCTGAGCAAAAGCATCCTATGGTACCCTTTGTTTCTACTAAGATTTTGTCTGGGGATGGAGATGAAATGGAAACCACCAAATTCCATAGCACTTATGCAGATGAAGAAGTCATGGAGAAGGTTGTGGATTCAGCCTGTATGTTGGGGAAAACGAAAATTGAAAGTTGTCGCTTAAATAGAGCAGACAGAAGAAATGTGGATCTTACAAGCAGTCATGCACCTGTTACTTGTGGATCCAGTGATAAGTGTTGTTTACCAGATGTGATTTCCTATGTTGATAATGTGGAGGAGAATATTGTGTCCTTGTGTGATAAAGAAGAAGCCATTAATCACCCAGTAAGCAATGATATTGCTTATGCAAATGATCTGGCAGCTGAATATTACTTGAAAGCTGAGCAACCGCCTATCTCAGTTCCTTATCCTTTGTTAGAAAAGACTGAAGTTACTCAGACTGATACCAAAGGGCAGTTAGACTCTGTTATAACACTACTCACAGATCAAGAGGATGTGATTAAAGATCTTCAAAACGTAGTAACTAATCCAATGATAGTAGGAAGTCAAGATCTAGAAGAGATAACTAAACTTAGTTCAAAGCGAGTATCTTTTAAACTTCCAAATGATCAAATGGAGGACTTTGTTGATAATGAGGAACTTAGTTTAAAGAAGACCTTTGTGAATGTTTGTGCTGCTCCTCAGCCTCATTTCTCAACTCAACTTCTACTTTTACCTCAAGAAGCCCAAAATACTGTTAGTGAAGATGAAACAATATTGTCTAAAGCTGGTTATGAGAATTTAAATGCTATAGGAAAATCCTCTGGACCCACATATAAAAATAAGTCTACAATGCTCAATAATGAGAAACAGTTCACAGTAGCCTATGGAAAAGAATTGAAGGAAAATATGCAAACAGTTAAATGTGGTACAGGTACAGATCTCCACAGTAATTCAGACTTAACTAATCAAGTCAATCAAATCCATGCCAATCTTAGAGAACCATTAGATACTGTGATTGCATCTTATGCTCCAAGTTTTAGTACCAAACAAAATCAGAATAATAAAAATGGGAAAACTGAAGGTTTTTCAAATTTGCAAATTGTTCACATACCACCTCTTTCAGAACAGTTGCTTGATTTAGCAAATAAAGCACCCAATGATTTAAGTATAGTGCAAGCCATAGACAAACATAATATTAACATTGAGTCTAGCAATGCCAAAGATGACAGAAATGAACATAAAAATTCTCATAATGTATCTGAAATCAATTCTGTATCATTAATGACAGTTGTAAAAGATGCAAATAAAACAAGGAAACGTTCTTTGGGAATCTTTTTGCCCCGATTGCCAAACAAAAGAAGTCATAATGTCACTGGTACAGATGACCTGGAACAGATTCCAGCCGACACAACTGATTTAAATCATTTAAAAACTCAGCACATCCTTAGCAAAAATTCAGGTATTGCATCTGTTGCAGTTTATAGCTTGGATAAGCTGAATTTAAGTCCATCTCAATATATAAATGAAGAAAATCTTCCTGTGTACCCAGAAATTAATTCCTCAGACTCAATTAATGTAGAAACTGAGGAAAAGACTTTGATTGAAATAGACCAAAAAGGGCTTTCATCATCTGAAAATGACATGGAAGAAACCCAGGCTAGTCAAAAAAGAGCTTCGGTACCAGAAGACGATGGTGCTATTCAGAGTAAGAAACAAATCAGAAAAGATGAAGTTAAACTTAGTGATGCTGTACAAGACCAGCAGGTAGGCTTTGTCTTGAACCAAGGAATGATTTTAATTTTAATCAGGAATTGATTATTTCCAGTTAAAAGTTGGGAAATATTCTTATGTAGAACCTTCAAGACGTGACTAATAATTTAGATTTAAAAATAATGTAAAGTGACAAATAGTCACACAAAAAATGAAATAGGACATAGTATTAAAAAATAACATGTTGAAATTGTGTAGTTCTAAATATGTCACCTCTGGTGATTTGGGTAGGTATTCTTGGGTGGTTTTGCATATAAAAATCTCTAAAAAGGGTATATGTACTTTGAAAAATCATCTTTGGTGTGAAAAATATTGGGAGAGTAAATACCTTTCCATTATATGAACTACGTAAAAAGTTGACTAAATTTTCTTAGCTAATGAGGATACAGCAGTCCTTTTCTCTAGTGGGAGATAGGTCAAAATAAAGTGAGTGAGCTTGACACAATATATGTATGTATGGTCTGTGATGAGAGTTGTACATGCCCCCAATAAAATGGTTTTAAAAATCTAAAGTGAGTGAAATATTCTATTTGTTAAAAGAGCATATATATGTATTTTTATGTTGAGAAACACTGATTTAAGTAACTTTTGGAGAAACTAAATTCGTTCAAATGAAGATTCAAAGGGAGGAAAATTAAGCTTAGAAAGCTTTAGAGGGTCATGAAAAATATGAAACAAAGGTTAAACTAGTTTTTTAAGATGAGGTCATAAGAAAATAGTTGTGAATCTATAAAATAAGATCAATAGGAAACAATTGGTTAGTCAATGAAGCTTTGATAAATATAGTAATGTAAAATTTAAATGAATTTACTAGATTCAATGAATATTTGTATTCTATTTATGTGGTCAACAAATACTGAATGTCTGCTACTCCTAGGCACTGTTTTCGATGTTAGGAAGGCATCAGTAGAAATAAAGATGAAAATCTGGTCTCATGGCTCTTTCATTCTAGTATCATACATATTTTTAAACTTCAGCTGGGGGTTATGAGGAGCCTTGTGGCCTAGTGGTTATGTGTTTGGCTGCTCACTGAAAGGTCAGCTGTTCAACATCACTGGCTTTTCTGACAGAGAAAGATAAGGCTTACTACCGTGAAGAATTACAGTCTCGGAAACGCACAGGGGCAGTTCTATCCTGTCCTATAGGGTCTCTATGAGTTGGAATTCACTCAATGGCAGTGAGTTTTTGAGAGGGGATTATGTGTTGGGCTGCTAACCACAGGGTAAGCAGTTGGAAACCACCAGCCTCTCTAGGAGAAAGATAAGGCTTTCTATTCCTGTGAAAAAAAAGAGTCTCAGAAACCCACTGGTGCAGTTTTGACATGTCCTATAGGGTTACTGTGAGTCACAACTCTCTGGCAGAAATTTTTTAGCTTAAGGGATAGAAGTACTAAAGCCTAGAAATAAGTAATGGTGTACTTGATCCTAGTGGCTAACAAATAATTGAATAAGTAACATTTGGTGACTTTCAGGATCTGTTTATAATTTGGATATATTTGAGAAATAATTTACTTATACAATATAAGGCATAAGTTATTTCTATTTTTTAATGAAATTAATTTTGTTGTAAATCTAATCTAATGTAAGTTGCTTATTACTCTACTTCTTTACTAAGTTAATTGCTATAAGATATGGATAGCTAGATTTTATCTTAGCAATGATATTTCTGTTAGTTTCTTTTTTTTTTTCCTGCTAGTTTCTAATAAACATTTTCTCATTAGGAGCATACAGTACCACAGTTTTATCCTCTGTATTTCTTTTTTTCCCCCTCCATATTTTTTAATTAATAACTTCAGGTATTTGACCACCATACTGAAGGAGATATGGATAAAAATGCCAATAGTACATTGATGAAAAGTCTGACCAGGACCCCACCTAGTTGCAGCAGCTCTCTGGATTCAATCAAGGGTGATGGGGCTTCTCTGGACTTTAGCAGTAAGATCTTTATAAAAGCTAAATAAAATAGCAGTCATTTATTTACTTAATAAATAATATGTATTTCACTTCAGGAAATATTTGAATGTTGTATGAGCTCTTTTTAGAGATTAAAAATAGTACGAATTTTCATTTTTTTAATCTTTTAATTTTTACTTTTGTATTGTAAATTGAGTAACAGTATACAGATCAGTTTTCAATTCAACAGCTCATGCAAATTTTGATTTGCCTTTTTGATTGTAATCTCCCCAGTGTAATATCACTTATCCCATTTCCTCCTTAGTTTCTTATGTTCCTTCCTCCTTCCCTTCTTAACTTTGTCCTTGGGTAAATGCTGCCCTTTTAATCTCAAGAGGCTGATAATTCTAAGATGTGTGTACCTCCTAAGTATACGTGTATTAAAGACCTGTATATTGTTTGGCTGAAAATTGAGCCCCAAGATTCAGTTTATTTCTAAACCTAATGGGTGGCTAAGAGCCAAAATAATCCTGTAGGGTTGTTGTTATTTTGTTTTAATAATTCTGAGTTTGTACCACATGTTTTCTCCTGCTCTATCCAAGACATTCTAATGTGGTCCCATATAGAACAGCTGGGAGTGTAGTCACCAACTTCCAGTTCTGGTGTATCAGGATTGTGGAGACTGATGCTGGCATTGTCCATTAGTCTGCGGAACAAATTGTTTCCATGGTTCTTCAATTTTATTTTATCTTTTTTCCTCCAAACAGGGAGAGATATAGCTTGCACCTTAAATGGCTAAGACCTCACTTGCTACTCACTTGTTTAGACAACGGTCAATAATTTCTACATTACTATTCAGTGGCATTGATTACATTCCTTAAGTGGTACAGCCGTCCTCACCCTCCTTTTCCAAGTTGTTCCTCTCCATTAACCCTTGCCCCTAAGGGCCCTGTCTAACTTTTCCAGATGCTGTTGTCACTGTGATCCCCTTAATTTGTCTTTAATTCATGGTTACTTTAACAAATTGATAAGTGATAGACTACATAAAAATAAAATGATTTCCTTCAGAGCCTAATGATTAGAAAAGCATTTAAATAGTTGAATAGAGCCTCAGAAGTGAAATGTAGTGTGCTGAATTATTATCTTCCCAGAATGATCCTGGTGTATGTTTTCAGGAGCATGAGTTGGATTGTAGTCCTGAAAGATAACTAAAATTAAGTTTACTGTTTAATTTTGAGTTGTCATCACCTGATTTATTTTTTGTTTTAGCACATCGCAGTAGTCAAATGGAATCGCAGTTTCTCAGAGACACAATTTGTGAAGAGGGTTTGAGAGAGGTATATTAAAAATATTAATCGTTTCAAATCTAAATTCTTTCTTTTCTGTTTTTGTTTTAGTTCTTTCCTAGTTGTAAGACATTCTAGACAAACAAGACTAGTTTTCCTTTTGTTTGCTAACAGGACCCAACAAGGCAATTGACTATATGAACTACCTTAGAAGGCCTATAATTTTTTTCCCAACTCGATTGCTATTGAATAACTTTAAGAAATAATCTTACAAGAGCTCTCAACACACAATCCAGGACAGATAAACCCCTCAGGAACAATAATGGGAGTAGTGATACCATGAGGGTAGGGGAAGGTTGAGGGAGAAAGGGGAAACCAATTGACATATAACCCCTCACTCCCACCCCAGGGGGACGAACGACAAAAAAGTGGGTGAAGGGAGAAAGCAGGTAGTATAGATAAGAAAATACTAATAATTTATCAAGGGGTCATAAGGAAGGGAGGGGAGAGGGGGAAAAATAGATGATACCAAGGGCTCAAGTTGAAAGAAAATGTTTTGAAAATGATGATGGCAACATATATAATATATGTTTGATACAATTGATGTGTAGATTGTTGTAAGAGCTGTAAGAGCCCCAATAAAATGATTTATTTAAAAAGAAATGATCTTAGGTAAAATCTGCTCATGTATAGTCTACAAATATCAAGATGACATTTTCATAAATATTTACAAAGTACTTTTAAGTTTGTTTTTTTTAAACAAATAAGATGGGTATAGTCAACATGAGCTCCTCATGAAGGTCATCAAACTTAACTTTCTTTCCTCAGAAACTCATGAATGGGAGAATAACAATAAAGGAGTTCTTTATACTTCTTCAAGTCCATATCTTAATACAGAAACCACGGCAGAGCAATCTCCCAACCAAAGTAAGTGAAATTTCTGGTCAAAATAGTTATATTATACTTTTTTACTAACCTGTATCAAAGCAAACATTTGTCCAAAAACAAAAAAAGGATGGAAGGAAGCAAATTTCATGATAGAAAGTTTTCCTATATCAAGTATGTTTACATTAACCACAAAAACAAATCATAGATATTCTTTAAATAATGGCTTTTGGTAACATAAAATTATAACTTTGTTCTCCCTTGTCATCTTTTTTCCCCCTGATTATAAAAATATCATGCTTTTCATCCCTCATATAATTCCAAATGTTCCTGAAGGTTCTAATATACATTAAAAAAAAATCAAATGTATGTAAGATCATAGGATATTTGAATAATCAGTAAACAATTTAAAAGATAACCACAAAAAAAATCTTAACAAATTCTTAAAAATTATAAACCTCATCATCTGCTCATCCAATAACATTAGAAATAATTTTTTTTAAACCAAGCTATTATTAGCTTCTTGGACACTAAGAATATATTTCCAGATAACTTTTTAATTAAAAGGAAATAAAAACAATTTAGAAAGCAAAGTAAAAGAGATGCGATTCTAAATCTGTGGGACATAGAGCAAAATTTATACTTAACAAGGAATTTAAAGCTCTAGGTATTATTATAGAAGAGAGTGTAAAAATAAAGAAAACAAATATTTACTTTAAAGTATCAGAATGGATGATAAAGTAATATGCACAAAGAATCCATAGGAAAACAGACTAAAAAAGGTTGAAGAAAAGCTGATGCAGTAGAAAACAAAAATCAGTGGAAAGGAAAGCACATCCAAAAGTTAGTACTTTGAACAGGCAATAAAATAAGAAAACATAAATCTAGAGAAAGCAAAAATGTAGAAAATTAAGATTGAGAAATAAGACATGTCCACTGGTCGCAAAAATAAGAAATTAAAAATGTTTTTAATTCATTCTGACATGTTTTAATACCTAGGTTAATTTTTAGTAAGATATAAATTACCTGAATTAATCCAAGAATTGGGAAAACTGAAACCAGTTCTCAGAAGTTTATTTAAAAGATTACCATTAAAATTCAACAGATCCACAGGGCTAAATGAGATAAAGATAATTTAAATAACAATTTCCACATATATAGACGTTTGATTGACAAGTCAATGCAGAAAAGTAGAGAGTGCTATTTCCTTTACATGATATTGAATCAGTTAGATATTCATTCTAAACAAAAAACCCTTGACCCTTACCTCATCCTATAATATAAAAATCGATTCCCTTTAGTACCAAAAGCACAAGTGACAAAATTAAAAACAGACAAACTGTGTTTCATCAAACTGAAGAACTGGTGGGCTGCATACAACCATTAAGAAAGTAAAAAGAAAATCCACAGGATGGGAGAGAATATTTATAAACCATACATCCGATTAGGCACTTAACAAGGAGGTACCCCCTCAATACCTGGAATTTTGGTGCTTTTGTAGTCCGCATTTTGCCCACTAGGCGAGCATCAAGCAACTCACTCTGACTTAGTGCACCCAGTGGCATCGCCTGGGAATGTTCTCTCTAGTCACAGTGAATTTTTTCGTACAAGCAGTTTTGTTTGAAACTCGGTTTTTGTGATGGCCAATTTACGAGAACAGCATGTGGCTATGAAATTTTGTTTTCTGTTTGGGGGGAAAATGCCATAGAAACTGTTGTGATGTTGAACACAGCTTATAAGGACAGCAACTATGGGGGAAAACTCAAGTGTACTAGTAGTGTTCTCTTTTCAAAAAAGGTGAAATGTCAATTGATGATAAAACTCATTTTGGAAGTCCATCAACTTCCCAAATGGATGAAAATGTCAACTTAAAATGCATTTGGAGTTTGTTCCACCAGGTCAGACTGTTAATCAAGCTTTCTACTTAGAGGTTCTGAAAAGATTGTGTAACAGTGTGCGACAAAAAAGGCCTGATTGTGGCAGACGAGGGACTGGTTTTGCCACCACGACAATGCACCTGCTCACGCAGCCATCTTAGTGTGCCAGTTTTTGGCAAAAACAGCATGTCTCTCTCGCTTCATGCAACTTACTCACCTAACCTCTAGCTCTGTGCGACTTCTTTTTGTGTCCTTGAATAAAGAAGGACATGAAAGGACAGCAATTTGACAACGTGGAAGAGGTGGGGAAAAAATGAGGGAGGTGCTGTGAGCCATCCAAACAGATGAGTGTGAAAAATGTTACCAAGAATGGAATCACAAATTTGACGAATGTGTTAAGTGTAATGGAGAGTACTTTGAAGTTGATAAGGTTGTTTTGTAAAAAAAAAAAATTAAATACATAGCTTTGGGAAAATCTAGGCTTTTTTTTTTTACGTTTTTTTTTGGGGAGGGGGCGGTTACTCAGAAAAC